ACAAGTTTTGTTGGGGGAGGGGGGGGGGTTCGGGGTCAACACCTTTTATGTTACTTTAAATCTCATTTCTGAGCGGATTTTTACTGAAAAACGTCGATCAGAGATGTAAAAAAGTTAGATTTTCAACTTCCAAGGACTCTCAAGGAATGAAAAACACCAAACCTTTGTAGACGACTTTTTCGCTAATTTCACCGCTGAAACCCTCCTCCATCAATCGTAAATATCTCTATTTGTATACAAGATAGGTGGGTATTTTTTCATCAACAGGAAGACAAATGAACAAGCTTTGAGATGATACCAATAACCCCACATGCCTAGAACTGACGAGCGTCGAGCACCCGAATGTACTGCGTTTGCTCTACTCGCTTGTCCCCCCGCCCGCACAGGACGAGACGATACATTTGTACTTCAAAGACAACGATTCACGTTTCGGGTTTAGCCTTCAGCGGGGATTCCCAGTCTCACGAAACGATACCCGTGGCAAAAGACCTAGATCTAGTAAGTAAGGGCAACATTTGCCAGCCCTACAAAAAAAATAAAATGATATGGCAAACAAGTGCCACCCCCACCTTCGAAGTGACACTTACATGCAGCTTTATCTAAAAGGACTTTAGTATTCTTATTATTAAGGTGTCAGGTCTGGAGAACCCATGAACGATCATGTTACCCCACTCCTTCTTGTTGTCTATCTTCTTGAGCAGCTCTATTTTTCTCTGTTTTATTCGTTGAAAAATTGTTCAGGCCATCTGTGTGTGTCGTTTTTTGTCTTCTTCTGCTGTTCTTTTCCTCTATCTTTCCACACAGCAGCAGTTTTTCTAGTACATTTGATCTATTTACGTGGCCAAGGAATCTAATTTGTCTTTATCTGATCGATGTGATTTATGGATCTTTCACATCTTAAATGTACAAGATAGAAATCATTTAGCTCAACATCTCCAGCGATAACCGCCGTCTGTGGTTTAGTTTTGTTTTAGTAAGAGTTTTACGGTACTTGCAACACAATAAGGTCATATAAGTGACGAAGATTAGAGGATTACAAGAGAGTAACGAACAAAAAAGAATAATGGAAGATAAGGACGATAGATGTTTGAAAGGAAAGAAGGAGCAAACCACACCAGAGCACCCGCTAACAAACCACTTCTGAGGTTTAATGTTTTTGCCATAAGAGACGTGAGTTTAATACTCGTTCTGGACAGTCTTTAATGATCAAATATCTGGTCTTCCTGCTAAGATGAATTGTCTCCCTTTGCCTGGACTGGTCCTGAATGGCAAGATTGAAGCAGTCCACACCCTAAAAGATCTTAATAATTGTGTCGACGAATGTGTGAAATATTAGCATCCGTTTAGTTCCAACAGAAGACGTTTCAACGTCGTTTTAATTTCAAGTCTGTGAACGTGAATGCAAAGTCATTTCAACCTCCATTAGTTCCGTTTCTGTACCAAATCGTTTTTATTTCTGATGTCATTTCGCGGGTTTATATTCCCAGCTTCAGGGAATTTGACAAGCTGAGAGAAACCAGCCAACACTTTAACATGTCGCCTCAATCTGGAGTTAACGACACGTTTCATTTCCTGTTGCCGTCTTTATGTCCTTCTCAGATCAATGTCCCTCTCCCAACCCAGAGAACTTTCGCCGTGGCTGCATGACCTTGGCAAAGAACGAAGGGGATAAGTATCTCTTCACCCTCTAGGGTGTTCGGGTTAATGTTGGCTTAACTCACACCTGCTTACTGATGATATGAACATTTATTATCGGTACCGTCTTGAGTAGTTACCCATTAAAATCTAGTTTCAAATTGACAGCCTCCTTTTTTTTGTTCGTTCTGAAACCTCTTCCCATTTTTGCTCTGACACTAAAATGAGAAATTCCTCACTCATGTTGGCCTATTTGGGTGTTTTTGTTGATCTCGAAAAATAGGCTGAGAGCCCCCAGGGGTCCAATTCATGGACCGGGACTTTGACGGAAGTCCGAGACTATTTCAGTTGTCTCGGACTAAAACGCGTTGTAAGCTATTCAGAGGGCCCGACTGTGCGAAGTCACGGACTAAACGAGGGACTAAACGGGTGAAATTTACACCAGCTATCTAGCAGGCGTACCGAGCATAGTCTGGGTCTAAATGCCAAAACAACATATAGGCAGCAGAGAAATCATCTTATCGTTCGGCGATTCCGCATTTTCAGAGATAGAACACACCCTTTTGAGATGTTCAGTAATGCAAAAGTGTACCAAAAGTTTCGCTGTTACCGCCAAAATATTCTTCAACTTACGTACGGAGGAGATAGAAGAATCGTTGGAATTTGAAATAGATCGAAAAGGTGCACCTACCCCTCTTTTGCAAATACTGATATCATTACGGTACTACGTAACTGGGATGCTTCAAAATGCAGTCAGAGACCTGATTGGAGTTACCCAATCCACCGTCAGTAGAACCATTAAACTTGTCACGGAGGCCCTTCTTCGGTTGAAGAACTATTACATTTGAATGCGAGACAGCAGGGGGCGAATCTGTCCACAGCCAAGTTTCTTAACATGCACAGGTCTCCGAACACATTCGCGTGGATCGACAATACACAAGTTCCCATCCATCCAGGCACCCGGCGAGCAGGAACATGAGTTCGTGAACAGGAAAAACTTCCATTCGTTAAATGTGCAGGTAAGTTCCCAACCCCCACCCCCTTCCTCTCTTTCTCCCTCCCCCCCCTCTCTCTCTCTCTCTCTCTCTCTCTCTCTCACACGCACACACACACGCACACACACTCACTCACTCACACAACACACACTCACACAACACGCATGCACGCACACACACACACACACGCACACACACACACACACTCTCTCTCTCCCTCTCTCTTTCTCCCCCCCTCTCTCTCTTGTTAATGCTAATGAGCAGCAGTGCACTGGTACACAACCCCCCCCCCCCAACATATTTCAATTTTGCTCCAGGTGGTTTGTGATGCAGACCTTCTGTACATCAACGTAGTTGCAAATTTGTCCTGGATCTGTGCATGATGCCTAAGTGCTCAAACTGTCACCACTGTTTGAGACATTCGAAAGAAACCAGGGGCCTCTTCAATGGATCATACTTGGGGACGGTGGGTACTGATTTGTCCATGGCTGATAATACCTCTCAGAAATCTTCGTATTCGCAGAGAAAGGCTGTACAATTATTCACACAGCGCAACTCGAGCTTCGAGTGAGAGGTGTATCGGCGTGGCAAAACAGTGCTTTTATTGCTTGCGAGAAAGTCTACGACGCAAACCCAAGAAAACTTGCAAAGCCATTATTTGCTCCTGCATTCTCCCGTTCCCTCCTATAGCGTTCACTTTATCGGTTATTCTGTCCCAATTCTCCTTCTTTTCTTCATCATCACACCGTTCTCCAAGGCAAACAACAGGCAAGGGGCCTCCCTTGAAATCTCCTCCACCATCAGTGCAGTCTCTTCATCCGAAAAATTCGGTTTCCTTACCCCTTTAGGCTTTAGCAGATTTCATAGTCGAATGTCTCGAAAGGTTGATTAAAGTTGACCAGTGATCAGAACTGATTCAAAACTCAAAACAAACACAAAACAGAAATGAATACTTCTGTGTTACTTGACATGCGCAGCGGAAAAAGAAACCAGTTAAAAATAGCTTGACCTCTAGTCTGAGACTTCGCACACGTAGTCCGCGATTTCTTAGTTAGAAGAGGTGAAGTCTGACTCTATGAATAGCTTACTTCTTGTTGGCCTGGACTTGCCTTAGTCTTGGACTAGGAAGTCTCAGACTTCGGCAACGTCCGGGACTAATGTAGTCTCGATCCATGAGTTAGACTGCAATTTTTGCCGCTGTCTCGAACATCCGCTTCACAATGTCATTGGTGAAAGAGCAAAGGCATAACGTAAACTCATTATATTATATGTACGGTGTGGCGTGGCATGGCGTGGCGTGGCGTGGTGCTGTGTGGTGTGTATGGTAAGGTATGGTAAGGTATGATATGGGTTCAGAATATCTTTTTTGGAGACTGTGACATTATTTTAAAGTCGAGGACATCGAAAATAATTCCCCGTCAGACAGGGTCGTGAGTATATGCGGAACGCCTTGAAAAACTCATTAAAACAATTAATCAAGTTCAGTAACACCCGATATGGCCTTTTTTCCTTAAAAAAATAATCGTTTGCTTTATAGTCCAAGATTTTAAGATGATACCAATAACTAACGGTGAACCTGTATAAACACGAATTATCAGAGGAGACGAAGAATCAGGCATCAAGAGGGCAGAAGTCATCATCATTTTTATTCTTTAAGCACACTAAAAATGGTATTAAGGAGGACATTGACCTTTTTATTTGCCTCGCAGCCATTATTCAAAGGATATGACTATTATAGATATGCCAATACAGCGCCAACTCTACCACCTGCTTTAAGAGAATATTATTTGCTATTATTCTCTCCTTTAATGATTGACGCCGAACTAATGGACACTTTGTTTGAGTGGAATCGCTTCAGGCACAGCTCCCCCACAATTTACAACGAGCGCAATGGCCTCTCCGATCATGGGAATAAACAGATTAATATAGACATTTACAAAGCAATTATTTCTTTCATGAATGTTTTTCCTGTTACTGTGTGTGCTTAACTACCCGTGCGGTATGCCATCATTGTATGATTATGCTTATGCGGAAGAAACTGGATTTTTTTTTCTTCTTTTTTTTTTGCCCGAAAAGGCCAATGTAAATTCCTTGTCTTTGAACTGTAATACACAGTTTTTATCATTTATTGTTCTTTAAGTACTCCAGCGTCTTTCACTTGCAGCTTCAAAAGCTTTTCTATAACGGAAATAGTGTGACAGCCTATTAGGTGTTGTAACGAAATTGTTCAGACATTACGTCATGGCATTTTACCAAGTACCAATTAATTATGCTTCTGGGGCGCTTCAGCAAGGATAACAGGGGTTGACGAGGGCGGTAGGAGGGGGGGGGGGGGTGCTGGGTTTCCCAGGACAATAATCTCTGAGTCAGAGGCTGAGAACAAAGAGTACGCTTTACGCCATAAAGAGCTAGAGCAAGCAAGCAAGTGCAAGTAATGTACTTTATTCCGCTCAGAGTATTGCATTCTCTTTAACAAAGATGGAGGAAAACAAAATATCTCTTCGTCTGACATATGGTGCAACCACAGAATGGCCAGAATTAGCTGGGAAGGAAATCATGTTAACAATGAAGTGTGTCATAATTCTCCACACAAGACAATTCCTTCTTAAGGAAATGAATAAAAAAAACTACAATACTTTATGGTCATATAAAATGCCAAGAGACCATTATAAAGGAAATACTCGAAGGCAAGATGTGTGGAGAAACGAGGAGGACAAAGAACAATGATTTTGTGGACCCTTTAAACATCAAGGCATGAAGTGGCCAAAGTATGACAGTACATATCGGCACCTGATCCTCGCAAACGTACGGAATGGCGAGTCTTCGCCAGAGATGACACCTAAAGGTACAGCTTTCTCCACGCGTGTCAGCAGTCAGTGTGGGGAAATTGTTATTGTTAGTGCTTGCTTGGCTGCTCATAGGTTTTTAAACGTTCTTTCTGTTCTGAACGTTGGTTTGTTAATCATAAACTAGCCTAATTTGGTCTCAGTGAGTGTATTGTCTCTCACGGTAGAGACTAAATATGCTTCGTTTTTCGACAAGAAGTTTTTTTTTATCCAATGGAAAAAAATCCAACCCCCAAAAACTCCCCCAAAACTAACAACAAAAAACAAAAGGGAAAGATAAAATCAGGGTTGATTTCAATACTTCGTTTTAGTTAGCCTATACATTATTCTCTTTTCACCACTTTCACATAATCGAATGGTTCAACAGATTTTCGTTACCTTTGATAATTCTGTGAATTGCGCTTAAACGAATTTTTCACTTCTTTAAAATAGGCACCCCCGCCCCCTTTCCCCAGTTTTCCTTCTCCACCCCCGGTATAAATTAAGTAAGAACTGCAGTGGACAGAAACATGCGCCTCTGTGTGTGAGTGCCTGAACATGTGAATGTGTGTGCACACTTTAAGTACACAAGGACCCCCCCCTCTCTCTCTGTCTCTCTGTCTCTCTGTCTCTCTGTCTTTTTGTCTCTCTCTCTCTGTTTCTGTCGTTCTCTCTGAATATGTGTGTGTGTGTGTGTGTGTGTGTA